TTAATTTTTCTGAAACGTGAAAGCATTTAAACCAAATCTGCACTCTCACAGTCTCACTTCCTACATAATCGCACGCCATGCTGCTCTTTTCGTTGCACTCGGTCTCTCGTCAGCTCCCACACTCACTTCTTCCCATGGAAACCTTCAGAAAATCTCCGTTAAAGCCTTGGAAGAAAGGTCCAATCAGAGGCAAAGGCGCTCCTCTGAATGCCTCCTGTCAATACCCGGTAGTTCGGCAAAGGACTTGGGGAAAATGGGTGGCAGAAATCGGGGAACCCAAGAAAGGAACCACACTCTGGCTCGGTTCTTCTGCTACTGCAGAGGAAGTTGCCATGGCTTATGATGAGGCTGCAAGGAGACTCTATGGACCTGATGCTTACCTCAATCTCCCCCACCTTCAACCCAACTCAAATTCTCACCCTCCAAACAGATTCAAATGGATTCCTTCAAAGAACTTCATCTCCATGTTTCCTTCTTGTGGCCTGCTCAATATCAATGCCCAACCTAGTGTTCATGTTATTATCTATTAGAGGCTTGAAGAACTCAAGAAGAATAATGGAGCTCTGAACAAATCTTCTTCTTCTTCTTCTAGTTCATCTTCATGTGAATCAGAAACTGATACTCAGATCATAAGCGAGAAGAGCCAGAGCCAGAGCCAAATAGAAAATCTGACAACCAAGGAGAAAGATGTAGATGTTTTGTCAACAGAGGAAATGCTGCAGACTGAGGAACCACAGATTGATCTAAATGAGTTTCTTCAGCAGCTTGGAATAGTGAGAGAGGAAAAGCAGTCACAAACAGGAGGAATAGGTGAAATTCCTACAGAGAATTTACCAGAGTCAGTGATGGATTCTAACATAAGAGATTTTGAAGAAATTGCAGCCTTCGCAGAGAAGAGTTTCAACTGGGATGCTGTGGTAGAGCTGAAGGGAATTGAGCAGATCAACAAGGAGCCAATCCCAGCTTCCATGTTCATGATGTTCAAGAGGAGCTAACCTGGCCTACATCTATTGGGAACTTCTAAAATTAGTAATAAATAGATCTCTTGATCTTCAGTTAAGTTAGGTACCATGATGTTTAGCAGTAGTGCAGGTTGCATTGCCGTATCAAGATGACATTTTTATCCATTTCTGTAAACTTATTAAGTGGACAGGGTAGGATATTGCTACTAACCACCAGTAATCAAACTTCTAAAAGTAGTCGCGGAAAAGTAGAGGTAATCAACACCAAAATTTTTACTTAGAAAACCCAAATTGGGAAAAAATCTTGGGACCTAGTCTAGATCAAAATCATCCCCTATAAAGATAATCCGCATGTAGAGAATGGGTACAAGTATAACATACATAAAAAATGGTGTCAGCAACTAAGGGTCTCAACACTTGGGTCCTGAGTGTTGACACTATGCACAAACCACAAATGCTTGTCTTCAGCTAAGGTCTAGACATTCTTGATCCTTGCGCCTTGAGATATAGGTGCCAATATTTTTGCTACAGTGCCAATTCTCTCTCCTCCACTTGGTCACTAGGTTTTGACTACCCAAGGATTGACACCTTCCAAAGTCCATCGCAGCCACGGCACCAACACTAGGATAGTGGGTGCAACATATAGCCTCAAAACATCAATTTCCCAGTTCGTATCCTCATTGCTTGTCAACATCTGAAGCAACAGTTGATATTTCCACACCCTTTGGCTTATATCCTCATTGCTTCTCAACATCTTTTGTAAGTCAACCTGAAATATAGTTGAAATTTATAAGAGCAAACAATCTATGTATTGGTCAGTTTGTCAACAGGATGGAAGCCTAAAGTAAGGATACAACTTACAACATGGTACACTCTATAGCACCTGTGCAGCATGTTGCGTAATAATTCCAATATCTGAACCATGGACTTCACTCTCAGCAAGTCCTTTTGCTAGTTTGTACCTGAAATAGAAATCTCAGCTCCACCTTCATTCAGTGTGCTATCTTCTTCATGCTCCTTTTCTTACATATTCCACTGAAGCAAACGAAACATGATCCTTTTATTATAAATTTACAATGATTGTATATAGCAAAATTTCCTAGAATCTATGGGTCTCACTAAACCTTAAGTAAATCAATCAACTCAATATTTACCATTCTGAAATTTGAGATGTTTCTTGTGAAGCAGAATGTCAACTGAACCTTACACTTACACACCAAAAATTCTTACCTATTTTTCAAAAATAAAGCAGTATTACTTTGGCGTTGTAAAACAAAATTATCTACACAGTGCACTCTCTTGTAGAGGAACTAGCCACCAAATGATATACATCTTGAAACCTAAAACAAAAATAATGATCACAAGTGAGCCTTGCACAATTAATATGACTATATAAGCTGGGTCGTTGAACTGCATTGCACTACAGTCAATTCTATTCTATTGGGGTTCAATCAGTTTCAATTTTCAGTTCTCAACTCAAAACTGAATTTAAGAATGCAAATCATGTAAGAGGGTGATTAGCAACCAATACATTCAGTTCTTGTGAATCGCAACTTAACAGGAACACATTCAACCCCCCACTCCAAGAACCAAAAAAAAAAAAAAAAAAAAAAAGGAGGAAACAAAAAGGTAAACTAGTTGTCATCTGAAAAGAAAAAGAACTCAGAAAGTAAACAATTGCACACCTGAGAGAGATCAAAGTGGGAGTTAAAAGGGGAGAGCGTTACGTCCTTCTTTCACAATGTTGGCAGTCTCTCTCCAAACAAGACAGGAACTATATTGGCAGCAGTCCCCTTTAGCACACCTTTGCTCAACTGTATCAAGGCATACTTCATCCTACAATATGTCACCTGCATCAACAAATTAATTTGGATTTCTTTATTCTTACAAGCTTAAATCAGTAAAAGTGTAAAACATAGTAATAAAATTGATTACAAAATCAATATCAAGAAAGTGTCCCACTGAGAATTCTATACTAGTTCCATTACATTAAGGCTTGTGAAGAGGTGTGTACAACAATTAAAGCCACCATGAGAAGCAGAGAAGCTGTTGAAGAATTTTAATAGCAAACCTAGTTTGACACATTTTCTAGAGGGAAGGGACTGATTAAATCTTCTTTTGGGATGTTATCAAAAGCAACGGTGATTAAGGAATCCTGTTCAACATGCACATGAAATCAGCAGCAGAAGAGTTCAGGGGAATAACACATAACTAGAAAAAACAAAATGAACTAAGTAACCCAAATATCTTTTAAAACCCACAATTACCTTTAGCCAGTAAACTACACCTCGTCCAAGAGCTCCTGAATCAGCCATGTTTGGTTTTAATACAACTACATCATGGGTGCCAAACTGCATTGCAAAAAGATTAAAAAAATTACAAATAGGAAGAATTAAACAAAATGACGATTGTGTTCTGCAACCACAAACACCTAAAGGGGGAAATTTATCATCTCCAACCTCCACCATACCAGAACTTATACCAGAGGTTGTCATGATCAGGTAGACAAAACACCATCCAGCCTAAGCATTGCCAAGTTACTTTTTGTGCCATATATGACATTGTGTTTTTAGTTTTTCCCCCTTTCTTTTTCTTTCTATTTTCAATATTTGATTAATCAACTGCATTTCACCCCAAAACCCCTCTACACAGAATTACTAATCTGACATTTACAAGAAACCCAAACTTCCATTGGAATTGCATCCTAATACCAAATCCAACACACAAAATGCCAATACAATTGAGTTCAAAAAAATCCCAAGACCCAAAAGACCTAACTAAATAGACCATTTTAATAGCAACTGGGACTCCAAGATTCAGCTAGTAGATAAATAAATCATTTTCATATTTTTGTAATTCAGATCCATGGCATCTTTAACAGCAAAACCTTGAAGAAGTTGTGCAATTATCAATTGGACTGATTCAAAACATTAATGATTGAAAACCTAAAACTAAAGATTGGCAGCGGGCACTCTTACCAGTTACAGAAAATGATACAACTCACAATGCACTACAAATTGAGAATTGCGGAGCCCCTCTTTTGAGAAGTATCCAAATTCCTTGATGCCCCTGAAGAGATAGAGGGGGATATCTCAGGTTCCTGATTCAACAAAAAAAAAGTCAGTTAATTAATCCATATTTCGCCCATGTTCCTTTCTATCTCATTTTGCAGTTCAAGAATTAAAAATTTCTAGAAATAAAAGTAGACTAAAGCGAAGATGAACCTTTTCCACATCGATTAGATGAGCCATGGCGTAGATGAACTGTTGCAGAGTCACAATTGGCGATTTCTTCTTCATCTTCTTCATCAATGTCACCAATCGAAGTTACGGAAGCGTAGAAGGACAGCCTTTGCATCGGGATGGTCCCACTCCAACGATTCCCACCACGATTCCCCCCATTTTTGTGGCAATACATTGATTTGTTTGAGGAAAGGAGGAGGAGATGGTTGTCCGTCATCAAGCAGGGGAAGATACAGAGGGATCCTCCTAAGGCCCTGGCAATTCTCAATCTGAATCTCTTCAACAGAATCACATACCATTACTGCCCTCCTGCTACAGATGCTCTTCAATGCGGGCAATTCTTTCAATTTCAAACTTTCTAATTTTGGAAGAATGACCCCTTCTTTTTCTCCTCCTGCTTCTTCTGCATCCCATACTATTATTTCTTCCATCTGATCGCAACATCCAATGTGAATTTCTTCTAGACTCTGGAGATTCATCCAAAAGGGGAACAACGTCTTTATTTTATTACAGTGCCAAACGCTTATTGTTTTAAGAGATGAAAAAGTGTCAGGTGGTAGTGGTGACTTGGTAATTGCCTCTGCTTCAAAAAGGGCTTCCAAGTTTTCCAAACTAAAAAGATCCAGAGCCTCAAGCTTTTGGGCCAGTAGATTTATGGACGAGGAAAAAACAAACTTCACACCATTGCAGTCCCGAATCCTACAGCACTTCAATTCTTCTGCATATTTAGTGGAAGAGATATCATTTAAGCTTCTTAAGTAGTTGCATCCATTAAGAAATAATTCTTGTACGGATGGTGGCACCCAAGTATTCTCTACATCAATATCGGTCAACTCTAACCTTTTAATACGCCCTTCTACTAATTTGGAAGGAAACGAATGATATCTTTCACAGAATTGTAGAAGGACACGCTCTGCATTAGGATGGTCCCACTTTAAAGATTTCCACCATTCTTGTGGCCATACTACGATTTGTTTGAGGGAAGGAGGAGGAGATGGTTGTCCATTTTCAAGTTGGGGAAGATAAAGAGGGAACCTTCTTAGGCTATAGCAATTCCGAATTATAATCCATTCAAGAGAATCACATACCATTGCTGCCCTCTCCCAACAGATGCTCTTCAACTGGGGCAAATCTCCCAATTCTAACCTCTTTAGTTTTGGAAGGAGGAGTTGGATCATCCCTTCTGAATCCGATGCAACCGAAGATGAGAATAGGTATTTCAAATTTTTACAGTCATGAATAATTAATTTCTTCAGTTTCTCAAAACAAGATATCATCGAAGTGTGCCATATGGTGTCAATATTCCCAATTGAGCACAATTGCAACTCCTCTAGGTTTGATGAAAACCCAATCTGCACAGATATAATTCTTTCTATTACAAAAACTTATCATTTTGTCGATAAATAAGAAAAAGGATTATCAATTACATCTTGGGCTTCACCATACAAGTCAAAATGTGTCCTTAGGGTACTTTTCGCGGTAATTAAGAGGTTGAGGCATCACATTGGAGGTTTAGACCCGAATCGAGGTGGGTTATTCTTCGATTTATAGTCTATTATTTCATCTTAATCATGTTATTTGTTTTAAAGTTTTTAATAAAGTTTTTTTATTTTTATTTTTGATTAATTAAATATATATATATTTTTTGTGAAATTGTATAGTAATTTCATTAGTTGAGGTTCTATCCTGATTGGGAAAATAAATATTAATTAAAATGTTTTTTTTTAATTTTAATTTGCAAAATAAAGGAATCTATACACATGTGGTTTTGTTATATGGTAATTTAGAAATAGAAATTAAAAAAAAAGTGACTAAATTATTATAAATATAGTAACAATTGCTAAAATTAACTGGTTCTAAGTTTTTCTAAGTGGGCGTCAGTAAAGTTGGGGAAAATAGCCTACACATCATGACAATAAGAGCAAAAGGATTAGAACAACCATAGCTCCTAAAATTAAAGGTAAAATGCAATTGAATTGAAGAAAAAATTACCTTTTTCCAGAAGAATGATGGTGTGTCGTATGTGACATTCGTACATGGAAAAAATTTAATGAATCCCTCAAAATTTATGCAGTTCAATATTCGTAACTGTTTTAAGGATGAAAACTCCACAGTAGTATAATTTCCTGCGTTGAAGCTGATAAGGTTTTGAAGGTCTTCTAGAACCAGAAAAGTCAATTGAGGAAAAATCAACATTTGTTCTTCTACCTTAGCATTAGCCACAATAATCTTGCTCATCCTTTGGCATTTCTTTACTTGTAGGTGTCTAAGCTTTAACAAATCTGTTACCATAAAAGATGAGAATAGGTATTCCAAATTGTCACAACCATGAATGATCAACTTTGTCAGGTTCTTGAAACCAGATGTCATCAAATTGTTCCATATGATATTAACAATTATAATTGAGGACAATTGCAATTCTTCTAAGTTTGAAAACACAACCTGCACAACAAGTAGTTCTTTTTAGGAGGTAAAGGCTTATCATTTTGTTTATAGAAAAGAACAAGGATTATCTTATATATGCAACAATAATATAGTTACAATACCATGTATATAGAATTAGAAGTTTTCAAATTAAATGAGAAAAAGTATACAATATCACTCATGAAACACTAAATAAAAGGAATTATTTATATAATAACACGTAATGATTACAATTTTAAAAATGACACATCATTTTAAATATATCATTGTCATATCTTAATTCATCTTCATATTACCTTTTTTATCAAAGATATTATGTTGAAATACACTTATTAAATGCACTTTTTGGTTTTTATTTTTGATAAATTAAGTTTATTTAACAAATTTTTTAATTTTCTTACACTTTAATAAAGTTTAGTTACTGTATAATTTTCTATCTAATAAACTATTATATAAATACTCTACTCAATGGAAAGTACACAATTCAACCGCATATTATTCCTTTATTAATCTAACCTCAACTCACCATAATACTCTACTATGAATAGAAAAATAGACAGAAATCTCGGTGGTGACTTTGGAAAGAACAAAAATGAGAAAAAAAAAATTTTAATACCTTTTCATTGAAAAATTGTGTCCCGAAGAAAAAGGATTATCATGTTCATCTCGGGCTTCACCAAACAAGTCAAAATGTGTACTTAGGGGACTTTTGGTGGTAATTGAGAGGTTGAGGCATCGCACTAGAGGTTTAGACTCGAATCAGGGAGGGTTATTCCCTGATTTATAGTCTATTAGTTCATCTTAAAGTTTTTTATTTTTATTTTCGATTAATTAAATATATTTAATTTTTTTGTGAAATTGTATGGTAGTTTCATTAGCCGAGGTTCTGTCTTGATTGGGAAAATAAATGTTAATGAAAATGTTTTTTTTTTTAATTTTAATTTGCAAAATAAAGGAATCTATACACATGTGGTTTTGTTATATAGTAATTTAGAAATAAAAATAAAAATAAAAATATGACTAAATTATCATATATGGTAACAATTGCTAAAATTAACTAGTTCTAAGTTTTTCTAAGTGGGTGCTAGTAAAGTTGGCGAAAATAGTCTACACATCATGACAATAAGAGCAAAAGGATTAGAACAATTATAGCTCCTAAAATTAAAGGTAAAATGCAATTGAATTGAAGAAATAATTACCTTTTCCTTGAAGGCTAATGGACCTAATGGTGCGTTGTACCTGACATTTGCACTTGCAAAACTTGTAATGAATCTCTCAAAACTTATGCAGTTCGATATTCGTAGTTGTTTTAAGGATGAGAATTCCACAATACAATTTCCTACATAGAAGCTGACAAGGTTTTGAAGATCCTCTATCACCAGAAAAGTCAATTGAGGAAAAATCAAATTTTCATTTTCTTCATCACCATTAGCCACAACAATCTCTCTCATCCTTTGGCATTTCTTTACTTGCAGGTGTCTAAGCTTCAACAATCCTATTGCTATAGAAGATGGGAATAGGTATTCCAAATTGTCACAGCCATGAATGATCAACTTTGTCAGTTTCTTGATACAAGATGTCTCGATACAAGATGTCATTGAATTGTACCATATGGTATTATCAACCATAATTGAGAACAATTGCAATTCCTCTAAGTTTGAAAACACAACCTGCACAACAAGTAGTTCTTTTTATGAGATAAAGGCTTATCATTTTGTTTATAGAAAAGAACAAGGATTATCTTATATACACAACAATAATATAATTACAATACCACGTGTAGAGGACTGTAAGTTTACAAATTAAATGAGAAAAAATATACAATATCACTCATGAAACACTAAATAAAAAGAATCATTTATAATAAGACGTAATGATTACAAATTTAAAATGGTACATCATTTTAAATATATCATTGTCATATCTTATTCATCTTCGTATTACCTTCTTTATCAAAGATATTATGTTGAAATACACTTATTAAATGCACTTTTGGTTTTTATTTTTGATAAATTAAATTTATTGAACACATTTTTTAATTTACTTGCACTTTCATGAAGTTTAATTACTGTATAATTTTTTATTTGATAAACTATTATATAAATACTCTACTCAATGGAAAGTACACAATTCAACCGTATATTATTCTTCTATTAATCTAACCTCAACTCACCATAATACTCTACTATGAATAGAAATATAGATAGAAATCTAGGTGGTGGCTTTGGAAAGAACACAAATGGGAAAAAAAAAATTTTAATTCCTTTTTCTTTGAAATTTTTTTTCCGGAGGAAAAGGGTTTTTTTTTTTCTTTTTGGGTTTCCCCAACCAGTTCAAATTTTTTCTTTGGGGGCTTTTTTTTGTTATTTGGGGGTTTGGGGCTTGTCCTTGGGGTTTTAACTCGAATCAGGGAGGGTAATTCCTCGATTTATAGTCTATTATTTCATTTTAATCATGTTGTTTGTTTTAAAGTTTTTAATAAAGTTTTTTATTTTTATTTTTGATTAATTAAATATATTTAAAATTTTTGTGAAATTGTATAGTAGTTTCATTAGCTAAGGTTCTGTCTTGATTGGGAAAATAAATGTTAATGAAAATGTTTTTTTTTTTTTAAATTTTAATTTGTAAAATAAAGGAATCTATACACATGTGGTTTTGTTATATAGTAATTTAGAAATAAAAATGAAAATAAAAATGACTAGATTATTATATATAGTAACAATTGCTAAAATTAATTGGTTCCAAGTTCCTCTAAGTGGGTGCTAGTAAAGTTGGGGAAAATAGCCTACACATCATGACAATAAGAGCAAAAGGATTAGAACAATTATAGCTCCTAAAATTAAAGGTAAAATGCAACTGAATTGAAGAAATAATTACCTTTTCCTCCAAGGGTGATGGTGTGTCGTATGTGACATTTGTACTTGCAAAAAATTTAATGAATCTCCCAAAATTTATGCAGTTCAATATTCGTATTTGTTTTAAGGATGAGAATTCTATAGTATAATTTCTTGCGCAGAAGCTAACAAGGTTTTGAAGGTCCTCTATCACCAGAAAAGTCAATTGAGGAAAAATCAAAATTTCATTTTCTTCATCACCATTAGCCACAATAATCTGTCTCATCCTTTGGCATTTCTTTACTTGCAAGTGTCTAAGCTTCAACAATCCTATTGCTATAGAAGATGGGAATAGGTATTCCAAATTGTCACAGCCATGAATGATCAACTTTGTCAGTTTCTCGATACAAAATGTCATTGAATTGTACCATATGGTATTATCAACCATAATTGAGAACAATTGCAATTCCTCTAAGTTTGAAAACACAACCTGCAC